GGGTACGGAAAGTATTCAGACCCCCTTAAATTTTTCACTCTTTGTTATATTGCAGCCATTTGCTAAAATCATTTAAGTTAATTTTTTTTCCTCATTAACTGCACAGCACCTACTCGCTGGCGTCTGTTACACTCACCCCCCTAAACCTCACTCCCATCCGGGTCACGGCACCAATGTTTCCCCTCTCTCCCGGGTCCTCTCCGCCACACCTCGTTCCGAGTGAGTCTCGAACCCGGGTCTCCAGCATGGGAGGCGGACGCACTAACAAGGAGGCTAAAGACTGCAGCTCAATATGGGGTGCTGTGTGTACATTAATGAGGAAAAAAAATTAACTTAAATGATTTTAGCAAATGGCTGCAATATAACAAAGAGTGAAAAATTTAAGGGGGTCGGAATACTTTCCGTACCCACTGTATATATATAAGCAGCACAATTGTTTTTTAAAATTGATTTCTTTGACATTTTTTGAGCACCAACTTATCGTATTAGAATGATTTCTGAAAGACCACATGACACTAGAGTAATGGCTGCTGAAAATTCAGCTTTGCCATCATAAATAGTTGTTTGAAATTGTAATAATATTTTACTTTTTTAGAGTTTTACTGTATTGTTGATCGAATAATGCAGCTTTGGTGAGCATTAGGTGATTGTTCTCCCAAAAATATTTTTAAAAATCTTACCAACCCCAAACTTTCGATCGGAACACTGTAAAAAAAACAACAACAAAAAACACTGACATCTGTGAAGCTGTGACAGTAAAATACCGGCAGCTGTGGTTGCCAGAACTTTACTGTAAAAAATATGATAGCAACATTTTCGATTTTTTTTAACTTAAATTTACAGTAAAAAAACGTAATTCATTAACTGATATAAAGTTAATATACCAACCTACTGAAATAATATCTATTTTGTACCATTGTAATACACTGAAAACCTCAAAAACAGGTAGTGAAAAAGTCACATGATAAATCAAAGCTCATCACAAGCAGCTCTTCCAAAAGATGAGGAAAATAATAATATATAGAAGGTGCACAGTGTCATTCACAGAAATACTAAACACCATCTTGGTGACACACATTATACTAAAATAATGCAATAAACATTATTTAACAACATTAGATGTAAGATATAACCCTTATGTACATAAGTGGTAATATATTATTACTTACCTACAAGGCCCTTAATGGGTTAGCTCCTGCGTACCTAACTAGTCTTCTACCACGCTACAATCCATCACGCTCCCTAAGGTCACAAAACTCTGGACTTTTGGTAGTACCTAGCAAAGTCCACTAAAGGAGGTAGAGCTTTTTCACATTTGGCTCCCAAACTCTGGAATAGCTTTCCTGATAACATTCGGGCTTCAGACACACTCTCTCTGTTTAAATCTAGATTAAAGACACATCTCTTTGGCCAAGCATTCAAATTATGCATCTCATAATCTTTTACTGCAGTTATATCTGATCAAATGCACATTATTAGTATACCCCTTAGCTTGGGTTGAACAAATCATTTTTGCTTGGTTGGAACTGCAACTATGAATTACCTACTACCTGGATCATTAAGTGGGACTAAAATGTATTTGAAGGTTCCTCTGATGTTCCTCTCCTGCTGTCTATGATACTGAAGGATACTCTCTTGGCCTGTTCAATATCATCAAACATTAATAATTGACACCTGTGGTGTCAATCACAAAAGCCATAACTGAGGTCTGACTGAGGCCCATCAGTCTGAAAGAAAGAAACAAAACTGGCTAAACCTGGACAACAGTATCAATTTCTGATTCTAGGGGGTGCTTTTGAACTTTGTGTCTCCACATCAGCAGAATCTTTTTTGTGTGTGTGTCAAATTTGGCAACTTTAGGCATTTTTTCCAGATTTTTCCAAACTGCAACCAAATAAATTTGCAATACTACATTCTATATAATTCATTGTTAGTCTTAGTGATCAGGAATTTGTGAAATCACACTAGACCAAGTAATTTTAATTTAATTGGGCAAAAGCTTAACCATTTATTTCATTACAGAAGAGTTCAAAACTATGTGTGGTGTAAAAGGAAGATTTCATACCGAAGAAAGGCTTGGTCGTCTGTTGCCAGTCAGATGTCAGCACTTCCATAGTAGCATTGATGGCCATCTCAGCAGCACGGAAGTGAAGGAAGCCGTGATCTGAACTGATGTCATCCTTATTAATGCCTCCAGTAGGTTCTCTTGAACTGGTCCTCTCAAGAGAGCCACCATGGCTACACTTGCCTGAAAATTATAGATTTGTGGTGCCTATTCCAGCCATCCTGTGGTCTGTGATGAAGTACAGAGGAGATCAACACTACACAATGGCAGGGGCGCAACTGCACATTTGCTGAAGGGTAAGATCAGTGTTGGTGCCCCCCTGTAAAACTTTCTGTAAGTCAATGACCAAAAGACCATTAACTAGCTTGGGCATGGAAGGATACAAACTCATCAGGGGTGAAAAAAGTGACAAAGGTTCGAACACCCTCCCCCATTTTCAATACCATAGGAAAAAAAAGACAAAGATAAAAGAAAGGTGTGTTGTATAACATCCCTTTAACTCCTGATGGCTGACCCCAGACAGTAGAATGCATTTTTAAAAAGTAATTTTCTTCAAACACATGTACAATTGCTTACTTTTTAAATAGGTAATTTCATCTGCATTTTTTTTTTCCAGTTTTACTTATAGAGATAAGTCATGGAAAAATTGCCATGCTTAAGTGGAAAATGTCTGCCACCTGGTAGAAATGCAAATACTATTGAAATGAATGTCATGATATTCCCACTATAACCACTAGATGGCAGCAGAGAATCATTCATTGTCTCATTTACCATTTCCAGTTTCCACTCCGTAATATAGCTCTTTTCACGTTTTGATTTTGGATTTATATTTAGACATTAGAAATCACTATTATAACATTTAAAAATTACTTCATGTCAAAGTTCATCATTGTTTTATACGAAGTATGAAGTAGCAAGAGTTTTCAAGAAACTCATCGGATCTACTTAAATCACACAAATGGCCTATTTTGAATTCAAAACGGCAATTTTTGTATCCTTGTTAATAATCTTCTCTGTTCCTCTCAAATGTAAATCAAATGCCAATTCACAAACATATCGTGACTTTTTTTTTTTAGCAATAGAGATACTCAGAAATGAACTGATATTAACGTTAATCACTTTGCCCTCTTAGGCAACAACGTTAAATGTTGAATGACTTTATAGAGTAAGCTTACCAATTTCTGTTAGTTCACTTGGATATTGCTGTCCTTATTTTAATGCATTGCTCTTTTTCCCCTTTGTCTTTTCTGTTCTGCGCCCCAGAGCGTTTCCCTCCTCTATTCATCTGACTCTATTTGTACCAGTAAAATAGTTTTAAAAAAATAGGAGTACAGTTCAGCAAATAGAATAAAGTTGTTGAAGAAGTTAAAAAGTGAAACTTGGAATTGCATAGTTGTATACAAATAAAGTGGAACTAGCAGAATATAATACTTGAATAATATAAAATTGGATAGAGTCCACTAAAAGAATAGAAGCCTAATGTGTCAAAGGTTGAGCGGTTGAGATGTAGGCCTACTCAGTTTATTATACATTTTGAACTAATTAAAAATGCTAAAAAACGTTAAATAAAAATGTTTCATTACATTCTTTTTTAACAACTAAGCATTTTATTTTTTATAACGTTTTATTAAAGTTTTTCCTATAGGAAAATTTTCACATAATGATTTCGGCAAAATGGCGCCCCCCTCTGTGCGGCGCCCCTATGCACTGCATATACTCCATACCCCGTTTTTGCGCCACTGCACATCAGGTTTTGTTGAGGAGAAAATGCTGAAATATCCTGAGGTTAGTTTCTCATGCAGCAGTATTTCTGGGAGAATGTTATCGGTCGCCATGATTTTGCCAAGTAATACATGTTCCTGAATCAACATCTTTTGTTGATCCTGGATCAACAATACTGTCTTACGATCTTGTATTGCCTTATTGTATATGTGTTTTTGCAATAATAAAAAAAAAGAACCGATCACCTGTGATCACCGCGAGATGCATGCCGGTTAGAAAAGTGTCCGAAGGCTTGTTTGAGATGAGCAAAATCTGCGCAGAACCGATCACCGGTGTATGGAATTAAATAGCAAGCACTTTGAGTGTCTTGTTCATCATATCATATTTATTTTCATATAAACGCAACAGAACTTAAATTATAGGCTTGTTTGAGATGCGCCTCGCCTCGCCTGAAATGTAGGCGAGAGTAGGCGGCTGACGGACAGTTCTGACCTCTCGAAGTGGAACAGATACCAACGAGATCAAAGGCAGATATCGCGTTATTCACACTCGTGCTGTGTTGCTAATAAACATGATATAATTTCAGTTCTGTTGCTTTTATGAAAATAAATATGATGAACAAGACACTCAAAGTGCTTGCTATTTAATTCCATACGAAAGGCGTATTTATCATCCATTTTTACTTTAACACAAAGATGTATTTTAGATTTTTATAGAAATATGACAACAATCACATATCTCACACAGAGATCGCACAGATGTTGAAATGGCCGCTGAACTCTGCCCTTTTGATTGACACCTTATTTGAACCAATAGCTGCATCTTTGAGGTGACCACAAGCAGCGATAACCAACTAGCACCCAGAATGACGGATGAGGCCGCCTCTCTTTGATCGACAGTAGATCGATCCAATTGCATCAGAGTGTGTAAATGACTGTCGTTTCTGATAGCCAATGACCTTCTGAACAGAATAATATGTGACTTGAGTGGGCGGCTTGGATGTATCGGGGGAGAAGTCCGTGCGCAAAGGATTACAGAGACTGCTGCGTCTGTGCGTAATCTGAGCGCTCCATGAGAGACACGGGGAAGAGCTGGTTAGAGGTCAAAAACTATCAAAGAGAACGCGAAAAACAACCCCTTTGTTCTAATTAGTTGTTAAGCAATGTATAACAATAAAATTGTCCGGAAAATAAAAGTGTTTTTTGACAGAGCGAGCGATATTTCAGCCATTGAAGCAGATGAGCGGATATGGCTTTGCATGGAGGAGACGCCGCTCTCAACAAGTACGTGCTTTATTATATTATATAATTATATTTATATATATTTTACATATAATTATGTATATTATACATTTTACTGTATATATTGAGGTATGTGTTTGTGGTGTTGCTAAATTCTGTCGTGTGTGTGTGTGTGTGTGTGTGTTCCCATCGATGGTGATGGGGGAGTGCTCACTGGTCCGTCTCCTGAAATCCACCACAAGCTCCTTGTTCTTCTTGATGTTCAGAGAGAGATTGTTGTTGTAGCACCTGGTAGTCAGTTAGTGCACACCTCTTCTCTGTGTGTGTGTGTGTGTTTTATGTGTTGGTGTTTGAGGTGTTCTTGCTAACTTCTGTCGTGTGTGTGTGCGTGTTATATGTGTTTGTGATTTGAGGTGTTCCTACTAACTAATGTTGTGTGTGTTGCTTTTTTTTAATATCACAGACAATCAATTGACATTGAATCGAGTGAAGTCTGGGAGCCAGTCAGCAAAAAGCCATATATTGAGGGACATGATGACAGCACCTCTGAAAAAAAACCAATAAGACTTACAGTGATTCTGACTGTTGAGGAACACACCTCAGAGTGTCACCTTTCAAAAGAGACCAAAGCCATGTATGTACTCCAAATGGTTCAAGAACAGCATGCAATTTACTTTGGGTAGGCCTATGCCTTTTTTAGGCGTTTTAGGCAAATTTGCCAGGAATGCTAAAGGGCTAAAACACGTTCATAATTTAGAAAATGTAGTTAATACTTGCATCATTAATGATTTATTTTATCCAC